TCATGCAAATGCAGACACTTGCTGGCAGAAATGTGCACCCAAAAAGCCACACAGAGAGACGACAAAAACACACAGGCTGCAGCTGCTGTACTTTGTTTATTGTTGCTGTCACCCTGGGGAGCTCCGGTTTCTTCTTTCTTTTTGAGGGGTACCTTCATGATTCTGCCTCTCTCTATTCTCTGCCTCTTGTTCCCCATCTTGTTTTTTTTTCTGGGGCTGGGGCTGCTTCGTTGGTGGCCCTTCAGAACCTCAGTCAGGTGGGCTAAGTCCTGGGGGCGGGCGCAAGCAGGCCTGGATCCCGCCCCAGGGGCTGGTTCCTCGCAGTTCTGTCTCCGTCGCTGTGGGGTGTCCGTGCTCTGACTTCATCTGGGGGAAGGAAAGCAGGTGGTGAAAGCACAGAGGCCTGGGTTCTAATTCTGCCTCTCCTGCTCACTTGCTCCGTGACTCCAGAGAAGGACCCTACCCTCTCTGGGCCTCAGTTTCCCTCTTTGTAAACCAAATTTTGCTCCAGTTGGAAAGGGTCTGTTTCTCCCTTTGCTCTGGTCACTAGGAAACTCAAAAGTCTCTCTCATTTTATTCTATGTTGAGACCACAATTCTTGGATCCCTCCTCCCACCCAACCTCGCCCATTCAGGCCTGTCCTTTCCAGGCAGAGAGACCTCTACTGGTGCTGCGGACGGGGCCCCCTGACGCCTTACCTCGAGTTCTGTCTCAGGGCCGTGCCCCTCGCTTTTTCCGCTCCGTGTTCTGGAGCTTGGTCACCAGCTTCCTCTCGTGCCCACCAGGGCTGTGACGGTTGGTATTGGCGGCGGCTTCTCTCTTGGTGCGACCTTTCCGGCCTCCCACTCCTGGGAACCGAGGTGAGAGGCGGTGGTGAGGTGGGCAGAGGGGTGAGCCGCAGGGGGTCCAGAGGGCAGGGGTGGAAAGAGCTCGGGTTAAAGTCGGGAGGCTGGGGGGCATCACCATGTAGCTTTAGGGCAGTCGTTGTCCCTGTTTCCCCATCTGTGGAATGATGTTGCTCTAATATTCTAGGAGTGCGTGTGTTCCCAGGGCTTAGTAGGACAGAGCTCACTGGATGAGGGGTAAGAAGGGGGTGACTTGAGGGGTCAAGGGAACATGCTGGAGAAGGGTGATGTATGGGCAGGAGCCCAAGGAGGGATCCTAGTTTGGGAAGGGGGGTGGTCAGGCTGTTTGTGAGGGTGGGCATTGGAGACAGAAGGACAAGGAAGGTGGCAGGACCAGGCCTTACCCAGGTAAGAATGAGCCAGGCTGTAGAGGTCATACTCATCCAGGTTGGGGTCTTCATCCTCTGGGCCTGGGGGCTGCCTGGACGGGCTGGCTGCTCTCGGGATGGTGGCCATGATGTCTGTCTGTCTGTCTGTCTGTCTGTCTGTCTGTCTCTCTCTCTCTCTCTCTCTCTCTCTCTCTCTCTCTCTCTCTCTCTCTCTCTCTCGTCTTCTAAAGCTTTGTTTGTGTCTGCTTTGCTGACACCTCCCAATTCACTGGCCCCAACTTACAAGGCCACAGTCTCCTCCTCAGCCCACAGTCTGGCTCCAACCCCTCAGGCCCTGTCTGATGCAATCTGGCCTTTTCCCAGAACCCAGCCCAGTAAACATCTGTCAGAGAGGGGAAAGAGTCGGTCCTGTGAGTCCCAGCTCCCCTCGCCCCCTCCCTCTCACTGGGGCTCGCCCAGCTGGGTATTTTTCCACTGAGGAGATCCCCGCCCCTCGGGGGTGGGGGGAGGTAAGAGGCAGGGTCTGGGCATAAACAGCCCTTGGGATAGAGGGCCGCAGGGAACTGAGGGCCTCACCTGGCTGACTCCTTCCTATCCATCTCCCGCCCTCTGCCACATGCCCCTCCTGGGCTGGGGGTCATGGCTGCACAGCTGACCCTCACCCCCACCCACTTCTGGCTCAGACTCAGGACCATGGTGGCAGAACATGGAGTGAAGAATGAGCTGGGACAGGGTACAACACACTCTGTGTTGTGTCATTGGTTCTCACCCCGATCACACCCAACCCAACTTTTTTATAAGAAACACCTTGGAAACCCCCCTTAACATCCTGAAATGGGGGTCCCTAGGTAATCTCCCACTCCTGAGAGGGAGGCTAGCAGAGTGGTTAAGCTGATTCTGGAGCCAGATGCCCTGTATTCAAACCCTTGATCCATTACATGCTGTGTGACCCTGGACAAGTCACTTTACCTCTCTGTGCCTCAGTTTTCTCCTCTATAAACTGCGGATGATAATAATTGTATCTACCTCATAGATTTGGGGAGAGGATCTAATGAGATAATCCATGGCATGGCACCTGCAACAGTGCCTGCTACAGTGTAAGCTGCACTGTATGAGTTGAGCACATGGTTTCCAAACAATTCAATATAATGCCCTCCCTGTAATGTAAAGGAGACGTAGAGGAAATTAATTTAAAATAAAATAATATGTATTTCAAACCATAGATATACTGAGGTAGAAGACATTGTGAAGTAAACAGATGTTTGTGCTAATTTAATATGAATTAAAAGAAGGGGTTTGGATAAGAAACATGGAAAAGTGGAATTTTCCTCTTTTGCCTGAAGGATCTGACTGTGTGGGTCACGTTGACCCAGAGAGGCCACACCCTGGGCTGCCCACTCATGCTTCAGCTGAGGCTTCAGCACCAGGGGCAGGGAAGGAAGCAGGCACAACATTCCACTTTTTTTTTCTTTTTAACTCTGTGGTTTCCAGTGCAAGAGGATCTTCTCAGCCCAGGGCAGGTGTTAATTCCCTGCTCACATTCCCACTTTGCTGTGAGCCCACTGAAACACTGTTTCATCTCCATGTTACCTAAACTCCATTCTTGCCCGAATAATAACCCAGTAACAACCCGGTCTCATCCTCTGCAGAACAAGAAGCATCACTTCGGCTTGCTCTTCTCGCTGGCCTGAGCCAGAATTAAATTCAGCTTCTGGTTTCCAGATTTGGGTGATTTGTGAGTTCTTTAACACCCAGGAAATGAAAGTGAATAAAAACAGAATGGGGATAATAATAACAGGCCAGATGATAAGAGAAAGAGGAAAATAACCATAACTTAAACAAAAGTAACAAACACACTGGAACTTCCCTGGTGGTCCGGTGAGTAAGACTCCGGGATCTCAATGCCGGGGCCCTGGGTTTGCGATCCCTGGTCAGGGAACTAGATCCCGCATACCGAAACTAAGAGTCTGCATGCTGCAACTAAGACCCGGTGCAGCCAGAAAGAAAAACAAAAATCAACCCCCAAAATATAAACAGACCAGGCAATTTAAGGTGGAGAAATTAGGAAATACGGAGTTCTTGCAAAGTAGTGGGCTTTACCACTAAATGTAGTAGCAAAATCATTCCCTCTAGCATGACATGAGATGGGGTGGGGTCGGGTCACTGAAATAATTTTTTTTTTTTAATAGTTTCGTGAATGTCTAGCAGGACAGTCAGACGTCGTACAGGATGTGGGACAATTCTGTGTACGACCGACTGTCCTGCTCCGACCTGAGATCATTGTGACTACGGAGAACACGCCCACAAATTCCCGAGCTACCTCTAGGGGACGGTCTTTCACTCATTCACTTCTGCCACCAGGACTCCGGGTTACCAGCTGCGAGATCCTGAGCCCACTTCTTTTTTTTTTTTTTTTTTTTTTTTTGCGGTACGCGGGCCTCTCACTGTTGTGGCCTCTCCCGTTGCGGAGCACAGGCTCCGGATGCGCAGGCCCAGCGGCCATGGCTCACGGGCCCAGCCACTCCACGGCATGTGGGATCTTCCCGGACCGGGGCACGAAACCGCGTTCCCTGCATCGGCAGGCGGACTCTCAACCACTGCGCCACCAGGGAAGCCCCTGAGCCCACTTCTGAGCTTCAGTCTGCTCATCTGTAAAGGGAGAACGGCAACAGCCCCTGCTATGTGAAAGGGCATCCTCCAGACCCGGCCCACAGTATACTGCTATTTCTCCCAGTCTTCAAAGAAAGAAAACCGAGGCTCAGAGAGTGACTTGCTCAAGGTCACATGGCTGGTGAGTGGTGAAGGATTCCTCCCCCGGTCTACCTGACCCTAGTTCCGGGGCTCGTTCTAAGTCAGCACAGCTGACCAAACACCGGCAAAAGTTTGACAGCTGTGTGTATGGGGGCATCTGTCAGGGTTTCCTCCTTCCTCCCTTCCTCCCAGACAGTCAGTGCTTGCTTGGGACCAAGCCAGGTATTGAAGATGCACCGAACTACACACTGCGCCCTCTGGAAGCTCTGGGGGAGGTGGGTCTTCAGCAAGATTAGTGCACATTCCTACCCAGAATACCATGCGTCCCCTCAGTACATTACCCTTTCATTTTACTTTCTCCAGGGCATTCAGTTATTACTAATCAAAAATCTCTTTTTTATTTGTTTACTTCTCCATGATTTGTCCCCACTAGAATACAATCACTGGTTTAGTTTAGTTAGCAGTTAAAGGAGTAGGCTCTGAGACTTCCCTGGTGGTCCAATGGCTAAGATTCCACACTCCCAGTGCGGGAGGCCGGGGTTCAATCCCTGGCCGGGGAACTAAGATCCCACAAATGGCAACTAGAGAGCCCGTGCGCCACAACAAAGACCCAGCGCAGCTAAAATAAATAAATAAATAAAATAAAATAATGAAAAAATAAAGGAGTAGGCTCTGAAGCGGGGCTGCCTGGGTCCAAACTTTGGTTCTACCAATTGTATGCCCTTAGACAAGTTATTTAGCCTCTCTGTGCCTCGGTTTCCTCATTTGTAAAATGAGATTAATAATTGTACCTACCTAGGAGGATTGCTGTGAGGATTAAGGGACCAATTTTTATAAAGGCTTAGCACGGTACCTCGATCACAGTAAGCGTTAAATAATGTTAGCTATCATTATCATTATTCATGACAGCAGGGATCTTGTCTACCTTATCCCTGATGCCTGGCGCAGAGTCAGCACTCAATAAATGACTAGTTGAATACATAGAGCTATGCTGAGATCAATATTGGTTTTTCAGCTTCCAGATGCTCCGTTCTGAAGAAACAGAGAGGCCCAATCCTAGTCCCACAGAGGACTGTGAAGACACGCGACTGTCCTTCATGGAGCCAGGAAAGAAGGTCACTCTGGCCTTAATCGTGCACATGCTGGAAGAATGAAGTCTAGACCCTGGGGGGAGGGGCAGGCAGGGGAGGGTGCCCAAGAGAGAAGGGACTTTGGCGAACCCATCAGCTGGACCTATAGGACCCAAAAGATGACTCAGTGGGAAAAGTCAGGAGGTGTGTTTTCCATCCCCTTGCCTCCAGGTGTGGTTAGGCCATTAACCATAGGCCAGCCACAAGGAAGTTTATTTTCTTTCTGCTTATGACTATACCTTCGTGACATTCCAGGAGATTGCCAAGCATGCCTATTACAACCCAGTATGATCAGCCTGGAGTAAACACAAGGGGCTGGGGGAGCTCTCCAGAGGTCACCTAACCCAGCAGGGCATGGGGTGGGGCAGGTGGAGGGGGTTGTGAGAGGATCAGGGCAGACTTCCTGGAGGCAGTGAAGCTTGAACAAGAACCACTGTGAGAAAGACAGCAAGGCATGCCCCACTCCAGGAGTTAAACCATCCAAGTCGGGAAATCCTGGATAGCCTGAGGGATGTGCAGAAGTCTTCGGCTCGAAGGATCAGGAGCGTCCGTTGAAGGCAGGATATGTCATCAAGGTGAGTTGGTGACATCACTGTATACCAAGGGGACTCAAGAAGCTTCAATGAGGTGAAACAAGATACGTCTGTATGACCTTATAGTCCCAAGTCCAGGGAAACCCTCAAGCTTGGCTGCTGTGCTTGGAATTATTCTTGACTGTGTGATAACTTCACCTTGAGTATAAATGGATGCAATATTGATAAAAATGTTAAACGCACATACCCCCTGAGAAGTCTCCTATAGAAATGCTCCCAGGTCTTCCCTGGTGGCGCAGTGGTTAAGAAAGAATCCACCTGCCAACACAGGGGACATGGGTTCGAGCCCTGGTCCGGGAAGATCCCACATGCTGCGCAGCAACTAAGCCCGCGAGCCACAACTACTGAGCCCACGTTCTGCAGCTACTGAAGCCCGTGCTCCTAGAGCCCGTGCTCCACAACAAGAGAAGCTACTGCAACGAGAAGCCCGCGCACCGCAACAAAGAGTAGCCCCCGCTCGCCACAGCCAGAGAAAGCCCGCGAGCAGCAACAAAGACCCAACGCAGCCAAAATAAATAAATAAATTTATTAAAAAAAAAATGCTCCCAGCCTTGTTTGTAGAGTGAAAAACAGGAAACAACTTAAGTGTCCATTAAAAAAAATAAGCTATATCTCTAGCCCTGATGAGAAAGTTGTCCATAAATCACTGTTAAGTGAAAAAAGTAGTCTACAGAACATCATGTATACTATAATCCAAAATTTTGCATTGCATTTATTGAAATAATAGAGATGGGAGCAGCCTGACACTCTAGTGCAGTCAATAAAGAGGTCATTGTCTGTGAACTGACCTAAATCATATACTTCTTTTTTTTTTTAATTTATTTTTGGCTGCGTTGGGTCTTTGTTGCTGCGTGCGGGCTTTCTCTAGTTGTGGTGAGTGGGGGCTCTTCTTCGTTGTGGTGCACGGGCTTCTCATTGCGGTGGCTTCTCATTGCGGTGCACGGGCTTCTCATTGCGGTGGCTTCTCTTGCTGTGGAGCACGGGCTCTAGGCGCACAGGCTTCAGTAGTTGCAGCAGGTGGGCACAGGCTTCAGTAGTTGCAGCAGGTGGCTTCTCTTGCTGTGGAGCACGGGCTCTAGGCGCACAGGCTTCAGTAGTTGCAGTGCGTGGGCTCTAGGACGCACACGCTCAGTAGTTGTGGTGCACGAGCTTCGTTGCTCCGCGGCATGTGGGATCTTCCCGGACCAGGGCTCGAACCCGTGTCCCCTGCATTGGCAGGTGGATTCTTAACCACTGCACCACGAGGGAATTCCGAAAGGAAATTTTTAAGTGTCAGTTTATTTCATCCCTTTCCTCCATTGGGTTCCATGCATACTATGCCACCTTCTGGTCATGATATGTTTTTTTTGTCCGTGTCAAGGAAAACCACCATTAAATGCGAATACAGTAGTTACGATATCTCCCACCTGCCTGCCACATGAGGTCAGGTTGAAGAGAGCTTTTTGTTTTGCTTAAGTGGGTGATGGGTGAGCATGGACAGGGACAATCTGAGAGATTGGAGGCTGGCTTTACATACAAGGTCCCTGAAGCAACCATGTAAAAAGCCAATCCTGAAGGGGGAGAAACCAAAGAGCAGAGAAGGATGTGAGCATGGCCCTCAGCAGTGGAACTCTGTGTCAAGGGAGGAATTTGTAAAGGGATTGTTAGGAAAGTATGGTATGTAACTCTCTCCACATGCCCTCAAGAGACCGTCAGTGAAGGTTGCTGTGACTTTTCAAGGCTCGTTGGAAAAGCATTTCAGATGTGTTGCTCTGAAGTGATGAGACTTAACGGATAGATGAAGAAGGCCCAGATTTCTTTGCCATGCTGTAGCTTTCTCACAGGACGGAACTATGCTGCCCAGACAAAGGGAGTGTTCTGGTCAGTTCCACAGTTCTAACTTTCTCCTATATGACAGTACTTGATACATAGTAAGTGCCCAACAGATGTGAACTGCAGACACTTAGTGATGGATTGAATATGGGCTGGGAAGGAAAATGTGATATCAAGGGTAACTCCCAGCTGCCGGCTTGGGCCATTGCTGCCAAGTGGAAGGTAAGAAAATGAAAACTGAGGACAGATGATTCTTTTGAGAAATCTGGATGTGGAGGGGAAGACAGAGCTACCTCTTACAATATGGGCAACACTCTAAAACACTTTTAAAAATTAATCAAGTGATACATGTTTATTGTAGGAAACATAAGAAATTAAAGTCAAACAAACAAAAAGTTGTGAGTGCCAAATCTCCCCTGAGGAGAATCTGAAGTTGGTATTTGACATTCAGGAGAAATAGCTTCTGAGACTCCTACAAACACGAAAATGTGAAATCCTTGCTAGCATAAGCCTCATAAAATGCAGGATATAAAGCTGAGACTGGGTAGATGGTCATGCCATTTATTGAGAGACCACAGAAAGAAAAGCAACCTTGCAGGAAGAAAATGGTGCATTAAGTTTTGGGCTGAAACAGTTTGTGTTGATGTCTGAGATTCTTCTAATGAATAAAACAATATTGAAGGCCTATTATATACCAGGCACTATGCTAGGTAGCTGGAATACATAGGTGACTAAAAGAGATGATCCTGACTTTATTGAGCTGGCAAGTGTATCAAATAATCGAAAAAATATATAATTATAAACTTTGGTAGGGGTTATGTAAGAAATTACAAGATGCTAGGATGTAGACCATTGTAGTTAAATACTTGCTCACCCAACTGTAGTACATTCCTGGGAAGATTCCCTAAAAGCATGATTTCTGGGTCTACAGATCTGCTTGTTTCTATTTGTTTTTAAAGAATTTAAAAATAAACTTTATTTTTTGGAGCAGTTTTAGGTTTCCAGCAAAACTGAGGCAGAAAGTACAGAGAATTCTCATATGCCCACTGCTCCCACTTCAATCAACAATCTGCTCGTTTAAAAAAAGTATTATTGTTTTATAGAGGCATTTATTGGGGAATGGGAGAGGATACTGAAAACACACAAGGACCCTGGTTTGGTAAAATAAGGTTCAGTTGAGTCGGGAACAGTGTGTAAACTGAAAACTACATTTCCCAAGGGGCAGCGCGGCATGTCACAGAGGAAGAAGGTGCATGCGTAGAGAGGTCCTCCGCGCTGCGACCAAGCTCATAAAAGGCAAAAAAGCGTGTGTGGTTTTCGCCCTGCGGCGAATCTTCGAACGCAAGCGCGTTGTTATCCGCAGACTTTGAAAAGCATTCGAGGGACCGCGCGCCTGCTCCCGCTGTCGCAGTTTCCAGCGCGACGTGCTGTTCCACCCGTGGCTCGGTAGGTGGCTATGGGTCGCGGTCTGGGACACCCCCCGGCCTTCGCCCACCCCGCCCGGAGAATGGCGGGAGCGGAGGGCTGAGGATCCCCATTCCCGGGCCTTGCTGAGGCGGCTCTTGAGGGGCGCACGGTGCGCACGCGCCCTGGGCGGGGAGAGGCGGGGCGCGGGGAGGGAGGGAGGGGTGGCGCAGACCTTCTGTAAGGTCTGCGCTTGCGCCCGCCCGCCCTGCGAAGGTGGGAAGCAGCCGCACGTGGAGCTTGGCTTGGTGGCTGGGAGAGGTGGGGTACCCAGCCCAGGTGCGAGAAGACGAGGGCAGAGGATGGGCCCCGAACCTTGGCAGCTCTGTTATTTGCTCAAGATGTGCCCATCTTAACCAAACAACCTCATTCTTCCTTCACATTCCTCCCGGTGGCTCATCTCTCTGCCCCTGTTTGCAGCCAAAATTTCAACCTGTATTCACCAGCACCTTTTCTCCTCCAAACCCACTCCATTCAGGCCTGGCCCCCACCCCTCCTCTGAAATAGCGCCTTGTCAAAGCCACCGATCATCTCTAGGTCGCCAAATTCAGTGTTAAGTTAGTTCTGAGACCCCTAGCAGTATTTAATGCAGTTAGTCACTGTCTTTAATGGAAACGCGTTTTTTGTTTGCCTTGTGGAACATTCTCGTCTTTAGCTTCAGCTCTCTCTGACTTCTTTGCTGATTCTTGCTCTTCCTTACTTTTAATGGTTGTACTGCCCCAAAGCGTCATCCTAGATCTCTGTTCAGTGTTCACTTCCTGGGCTTTAAATATAAATACCGTCTACTGTGCTTAACTCTCAAATTTCTGCCTTCAAGTCATTGCTCTTCCTGAAATTTTGAGTTTTACCTTTCGCCTTGCTCAGTTTTGTCTTTCTTCCAGTTGCTTAGGCCAAGCACCTTGAGTTACTGTAGGTGTCTTTTGCTTCCTCTCTCTCCTCCTCCATCAGTCAGCACGTATTTATCCTTGAGGCTTTGAAGTTTCACTCCTGGGTGTCCAATTGTAGGTATGTTTGGTATTTGGTCAGTCCTTTCTGCCTGAGAATTTCTGTTTTCATTTTTGGTGTTCTCTGTCATTTATTCAGATTTAGCCATTTCTGTATTCTGATCCATCCCTTTTAGAGTGTTTATTTTACCTACAATTAAGTATACCAAACTGTTTAATATCTGTGTTCCTTTCTGGACTGTAAGTTTCCTAAGATCAAGGCAGGGACTGTTTGTCTCATTCACTGCTGTATACCCCTCATGCCTGGCACAGAGTAGGTGCTTGATAAATGTTAATGAATGAATGAATGAATGAATGAATTTACAAAGGGAAAGTACCTTTTCTCCATAGGTGGTAAGTAGACAATCCCTCTTAAGAGGATATTGGTTCCAACTAATTTGTTTTCTGCGGTCCCGGAGGAGAAGGTATTGAACAGCCCAGGTTCAGAATTGTTGCAGTGTTTCTAAGAGGTTTCCAGGATTCAGTTCAGTTCTGCAGTCTATTTTGAGGACTTGGTAGGTGCCAGGCCCTGTGCTAGTTGCTGGGAATATAAAGATAAATAAAACTGCATCCCTCTCTTCTCAGAGGTGTGGCAGGAGAGACAAGTGAAACAATTAGTCTCCGGGTGTATGTGTGACAGGTGCCAGAACGGAAGTTGGTGTACCGTGTTTTGGAAGTTTCTGGAAGTTTTGGTTGCCCTTGGCATCAGGGCAGATGAGAGGGGCCTGGGACAGCCAGATCTCCCTGCCAGTTGCTTCTGGCTATAAGCAGCTTTGTCCTTCTATCCTAGTATGCCATACAAATATTGTGTTCTCTGAGTGCCATGGTGTGAAAAAGGTTGGCAAGTACTTCTGTAAAAGTGTTAATTTTGCTGCCATTTGATTTGGACCCTGAAAAACGAGTAAATTTGAGAGCTCCAGAGGGGAAGAGGGGGAAGGATCAAAGGCATTTCAGGCAGGCATAACAGAAGCATAAAAGTCTGTGCTTGTTTGAGGCTGGGGCCCTGGGATTTTTCGGCGTGGATATTGTAGGTCAGTTGAGAGATGCCCTCCAGGATCTGAAGCAGTGCCTTGGAAGTGTTTGGTAAACCGGAGTGTCCATCTTATAAATACCTGGCCCACCACGAGGCACCCTTTTCTCAGTGGGCAGGTCCAATTAGAGTCCATAGTTTTAGAGACCAATTTTCTGGAGCTAGAAGCAGGGATGTTAAGTCAAAGTCCTTTTTTTCTGATTTCTAAATTTATATACAAAGATTCTTACAAAGGTTTTAAAAATGAATCTCACTAGGAATTTTGATGAGTCATCTGTCTTGGAAAAAATACCCAGTTTATGTCACTTCAGGATTTGTGGTCACTGTATCTGTGGAGAGGAAGGTAGAATGGTGAACACTGAACCAGTGGGGGTTGGATGTTGATACTAAGTTGTTTGAGCCCTTCAGGCTTAGGTTGCAGAGTCAGACAAATCTGAATTTGAATCCCACCTCTTCCACTTATTATTTGTGTTTTCTTGGTAAAGTCATTTATTTCTCCAAGACTCAAGTTTCCTCAGTACTATGAACAGTACTTTGCAGGATTGTTAAATACGATAATCTACGCAAGAGCGCTTAGCACATGGTAGGTAATCAGGAATAGCTGTCATTGTTACCTTTATTTTCCTACCTCTTTTTTTTTCAGATGGCACAATGAATCACTGTCTTACTGGTGATACTTTCAGTGTAATCATAATAACCTAACAGTTGATTGGCAGTTTACAGTAGACAAATTGCTTCTACTTCCATGATCTCTTTTGCTATTGAATATGCTGAAGTTGGACAAAACTTAGAATTGGGAGGAAGAGCATAGATTTTATAGTTTGCAGACTTGCAATCCCAGCTCAACTACCTGTATCTCCTGAGTTACCAGCATAACTTAACCTGTCTGAACTTCAGTTTCCCCAGCTGTAAAGAAGGTGGGCTTGTAGCATTGATGTAGGTTTAAAGGAGAAGTACAGAAGCATGGTAGGTACTGGGCGGGGGTGGGGGTGGGGTAAGTGGAAATCATCGTCTTAATTTTTTTAAAAAAACTAATTGATTAATGTAGCTTCTTACTGATGGTGGCTAAATTGAGGGTATGGGATCTGAGTGTAAAGTCTTAGATGCTTTGCTTCCCTTTGACTCATAACAAAGCTTTTATTGTCTTGAGTCCTGTGGGATTCTTTTTAGAGTGGTTTAAGTATAGGATGTTTGCATTTGTTTGGATGAGGCCTTGGCTGCTAGTAGAGGGTCAGAGAACAGTTTTAAGCTGGGTGTTTAGCAGCTGATATGTGCTTTCCACCTGAAGCCTTTGTCCCCAAGAATTACCTCTTTTTAGTCAAACTTCCCAGTTGCAGGTAACAAAAAGGTAACCCAAACTAGTCTAAGCAGAAAAGGAGTATCTGTTGACTGTATCTGGAGTCCTGGGTGCATCAGCTTCAGGCATGGCTGTATCCAGAAGCCTAAATTATGTCACCGGTATTTTCTGTGTCTTCTCAGCTCTGCTTTTGTCCATGTTGATTTCTCCCTCAGGCAGGTGAAAGCCTCCATCGTTCCAGGCTTCCATGCTACTCTTTTTTTAAAACATCTTTATTGGAGTATAATTACTTTTTTTTTTAAACATCTTTATTGGAGTATGATTGCTTTACAATGGTGTGTTAGTTTCTGCTGTATAACAAAGTGAATCAGCTATATGTGTACATATATCCCCATATCTCCTTCCTCTTGTGGCTCCCTCCCACCCTCCCTATCCCACCCCTCTAGGCGGTCACAAAGAACCGAGCTGATCTACCTGTGCTATGCGGCTGCTTCCCACTAGCTAGCTACCTATTTTACATTTGGTAGTGTATATATATCCATGCCACTCTCTCACTTCGTCCCAGCTTCCCCTTCCCCCTCCGCATGTCCTCAAGTCCATTCTCTACGTCTGCGTCTTTATTCCTGTCCTGCCCCTATGTTCTTCAGAACCATTTTTTTTTTTTTAGATTCCATATATATGTATTAGCATACGGTGTTTGTTTTTCTCTTTCTGATTTCACTCTGTATGACAGGCTCTAGGTCCATCCACCCCACTACAAATAACTCAATTTCGTTTCTTTTTATGGCTGGGTAATATTCCATTGTATATTTGTGCCATATCTTCTTTATCCATTCATCTGTTGATGGACACTTAGGTTGCTTCCATGTCCTGGCTATTGTAAATAGAGCTGCAATGAACATTGTGGTACATGACTCTTTTTGAATTATGGTTTTTCTCAGGGTGTATGCCCAGTAGTGGAATTGCTGGGTCATATTCCATGCTACCCTTTTTTTTTTTCGGTACGCGGGCCTCTCACTGTTGTGGCCTCTCCTGTTGCGGAGCACAGGCTCCGGACGTGCAGGCTCAGCGGCCATGGCTCACGGGCCCAGCCGCTCCGTGACATGTGGGATCTTCCCGGACCGGGGCACGAACCCGTGTCCCCTGCATCGGCAGGCAGACTCTCAACCACCGCACCACCAGGGAAGCCCTCCATGCTACTCTTAACCAACAGAAAGATGTTATCTTTTTGCAGATAGCTCTAGCAAAAGATCTGAAATTGATTTTGTCCAGATTTGGGTCACATATCTCTTCCTGAACCAGTCATGGTGGTCAGGGAGAATATAATATTTTCATGGGCCCAGGTGGTATACCCAGCCTTGGAGCCAAGGTGAGGGGTGGTTTCCCAAAGGGAAATTAAGAGTGCTATTACCAGACCTAAATATTTACTTAAGAAAAATGAATATGTGTGTTTAAAAAGAATCACATATGACTGCTCGTAGCAGTTTTATTCATAATGACCCAAAGTGGAAATAGATGCTATTCAGAGAGAACAGGTTAAACAAACCAGTTTGTTCATATAATAGGTGCAACTCAGCAATAGAAAGAAGCAAACTCCTGATACACACAGCAACACAGGTGAATCTCAAAACACATTAAGGGGAAGAATCCAGACACTAAAGAATATGGATGG